TATAAAAAGGAAATCTGTGTGAACAAAACAAAACATTTTTGTTCTTCTAAAAAAAGAGTTTGAACACAACAGAACATTTCTTGTGTCTTATATTATTATTTTTTTTTTAAATAAAAAACTGTATTAAATAACCAAGGAAAAAGAAACAAAACTTTTTTGTGCAAAAAAGGGATATCATGATAATCCCTGAAGAGTTATGTCCCTTGCATTAGGGTTCAGTGTAGATGGCTGAACAAGCCTTAACGTATTAAAAGTCTCTCTTGTCTTCATTAAATACTATTACAAGCGGCGTTTCTGAACCAGAAAGTCATTCGTGTGAATTCATAAAGACCAAAAGGTATTGTTACAGCTGTTTTCTGTATGTCTTTTTCATCTATCTGATGGGATGCTTTTCTCAGATCTAATTTTGTAAAGACACTTGCTCTTTGCAGTGTAATTGCCAAGTCCTTCAAATGAGGAACCGGATATTTGTCGGGTGTGGTTTGTGCATTTAGCCGGCAAAAGTTGCTACACAGACGCCACGCTCCCGATTCAGCCTTGGGAACTATATGCAAAGGAGTTGCATACTGACTAGAAGATGGGAGAATTATCCCTAGTTCGAGTAAATGAATTCCGCCTTCGCTATTATACTTTTCTACATGTAGCCTCTTAGGATTTGAAAAGACAGTTGGATCATTGGTTATAATACTATGTTTGTCGTTATATAACACTGGTTCCTTGTAATTAAATGGTGTGAGGAGTTCAGGATATTTTCGGAGTAAATGTCGCGGACCATTTGCTCCTGGGATTGTTGTAGATATGCCTGCGGTAGTCAACGAAGATTTAATTCCCTTGATTTCTTCGCGTCTTACAGTGTGCGGTACGACATATTCACACGTAGGTCAAAATTGATGAGTAAATCTGCTCCAAGGATAGGGATCTTAACTTAGGCTACTGTAAACTTCCACATAAATCTCCGCCTTAATCCTAAATCCAATCTCAATGTCCGTTCTCCATTTGTCTCAATATTGGTACCGTTTGCTGCATGAAGTTTGTACAACGTTGGTCTAACAGGCGTTAAGGCATTGGGCTCCGGTAGTGACATGCCCGAAGTGTCATACTTTACATAAAACAGGTGATTTGTAAATTCGTTCCCGACAGCAAACGCCTTCCTCAGAAGCTGCCGAGATGTCCGTTTCCCTGATTCTGAGACGTCGTCCTGGATATAAATTGATTGTGTAATTTACAGTGTTCTTGGGACCCTTTAGTCTGCTGGCCAAATGTTTTATGGTAGCAGCATAACGAATTTTTAAATTCGTGTCGTCGTCACAACATTGACCCTCGTCTATAACAGTGCTTCGGCATATAGTTTTGGTTAGCGTCTGTCTGCTCTAACAGACTTTCGTATCTCCTGCACTTGCGTAGATAATTCCTCAAGCTTACTGGCTAGGTTCTGTATTACTTCATCAGTATTGGAATGTGTTGTAGCATTCTACTGTGATACACTTTTCAACGACGTAGTCGCTTGGTTCTCCGCTATCTTATCCGCAATTTCTGACAGTTTTTGCAAATTTATGTCATCTCGGAGAGAAGCTAAGATTTGTTTGTGTTCAATTTATCTAACCATAGCTATTGTAATACTGTGTCCGACAGTAATACGCGCATTTTCCATAACAGCTGTGACGGCTTGCTAGATCCCAAAGTTATTGAAAAGACCTCTCAACTTCCTTCCTTCCGTGTATCCCGTCCGCTGCAATATCGCATCTCTCAATGTGTCATATGGCCTCTCTGAGGGTACGTTACTCAAGTGTAAAACCTCAGATGCTACATCTGGTGGCAACTTTTCCACAACGTAGGCAAAACGGACAGACTGAGAGGTTATTCTTTTCGCGTTAAAAATCGCATGTAGTTGGGCAAACCAGGTCTGCACGTTATTGCTGTTCGCCGGTAAATTCATCATGACAGCTGCTTCAATGAAATTGTTCCGCCATTATTACTCAATGTACTATAAAAAAAAAAAAATTGACAGCATGTGGTTACTTCGATTTTTCTTGGCGCGCTTTTGTCCCTCATGTGACAGTTGGGTAGACCGGATGGTGGTCAATTTAAAATTCTAACGGCCGGTTTAGCGTTTATTAGCGGGAGTCTGCGTGATGAAATGGCGGCAATTTTTATCCAAGGTAATTGTTTATTCCCGGGCACCAAAAAATTACTTTGTGAGAAATTTATACTTCGAAAATTTAGTCGTCATTGTTAATAATTGACACGACAGTTGCCTTTAAACGTTGGTCATTTTTTAAAACGTTGGGATTTCACCATCCTGCTACCACTTTTCTAGCAATGTCGATTTTTGTGCAAAAAGTGGATCACAGAGCCTTGATATTTTTCTCACTTCTCATTGGTCAGATAATATTAAAATCATGTTCTCGCCTACATCCGTACAACGCCTACGCGTTATTCAAAACCATTTTTCCGCCAAAAATCAGAAATGCATCTCCGGAGCCGATCACGTGATTACGTTGATTATAAATACCAGACACAAATTCGTTCTTTTTTTCCTTCATTTTTGTTTTTGATTTCTCTCGCTTACGAAAATGTAGCTGTTTAAGAAATCATGTTCAGACCCAGTTCGGACGGAAGCTATGAAAACACATTCACACATACACATACATACGAAACTTAATTACGAACATTACATAACATCACAAGTAACTGAAACATAATTACAAGCATTACGAACATTACAGAACTTTGCAAGCATCAACATATTACGAATATTCATCAACAAGCAACGGAAACTAATTAGACATTACGGAACATTCACTCCTCCAACTCTTCTGAAGCTAAAAGTTTATCAACATATTTTCAAATTTGCCGAATTCTTTCAACTCTCTCAGTGAACATTTTAAGCGGCAAGTTCATTCAACTTTTTATGAGCTCAGATAAAAGTATTTCTTTAGTAAAGTCTTTAATTCTAGTCAAAGGGAGGTATCCCCTAATAATTATGCTTGTATATCATTACATAAAATGAAGATTTTTTTTGTTAAAAAATACCGTTTTGTGTCCCTTCTTATTGTTTCATATTTTGTGGCAGTTTGCGTTAAAATATAAATTCGAGAGCTCACAACAGGCCTCTACTGTTGGTTTGTTTCGGAACGTCAGGGTTACCTGTTCGTTGGTTTGTTCCCGAACATCAGGGTCATCAATTTGTTGCAGAGTTATGAGTATTGATTTAAAGAAATATTATCAGAAGGCTTTTTAATTATTATTTTGGTAACCAAAATTATAATTAAAAAGCCTTCTGGTTATTATTTCGGTAACCAAAATGATAATTATAAAAGCCTTCTGATAATCTGTGTGAAGAAAACTCTACAAGCATTTAAATTTTGTTGTCCGCCTGGCACAAAGTCAATAATAACATTTTTTTAATAAATGACAAAACGACTCCTTTTGTATGTGAGAAAGAGATATTCGAATTTATATACAGAAATTTACAATTGGTTGTTGCTGAAATAAAATTCAAAGAGATTGTATCTTTTGAAACCTTTTATGTTTTTTCCTTTTTTTTTTTTCTTTGTTTGCTGGCAGAAGATTCTCCTAGGCCGAGAAAGGTCACTGGACCGAAGAATGATCTTTAAGGCCGATCGACACTCGAGAAGGAAATCCGATTGATCCCGGGGTTTACGACAGCGCTCAACCCGCGAGATGGGAGGACTGATGGTAAGACAAGGGAAGGAATCCCTTACAATCCCCGCCATAATCGAATCTCCTGTCAATGTGCGGCGTAGGAAAGCCAACTTGTGAGTCGCCAAGTGCGGCATTTCCCCCCCTCCACACACACACACCCATGACACGGACGCTGTGCACAGACTTCTCTGTCGACTTTATGCTTACGTCCCCTCCATAAAATGGAGGCTAGCAAGCGCTTTACGTTCCTTACAGAGAACATGTTACAGCTGTCATCCCCCAAAATGTTCAGTGCTTGTATAGTAAATGTTGTAAACTATTAAGGAAATCAGTGTTTTGTAACTGAAACTTGTTCTATTTAATAGTATTACTTTTACTCATTGATTCCATGGAAATAAATAAGAGACTTTACTTTCAGAGTGCTCCTTGTAATCAATAGGCCTCTTTTTTTATTAATTGAGAACTGAATAGAATTTTTTTTTATTCTCTATATTTAGAATAAATCAAGATAAGAAGTTCAACTTCTAATATCTGTAAATAAAAAAAGATAAAACATAAAAATGACTAAATCAAGAATGATAACTGAAGTATTAAAATATATATCATTTTAATACATATTTGACTGTGAAAATATGAAATAATAGTATTAATTCCCTAAAGGAAACTAATGAACTTTTTTTTTTATCAGAAATATTTAAGATTGAGGATGAAAAAAAAAAAAGAAGGGAGGAAAAGCAAATCAGTATAAATTATGATTTATCTATAGTGAAGGATAAGGTTAAAAAAGAAAAGCATTTAATTGCAATAAACTGAAGTAGCACCTGAAATTGCCAGAGTTTGAACTCATGACATAACAGGGTTTTAACTAGATATTGGGTAAAATTAAGCTCACTTGCCACAATTTAATTAAACTGGATGGCCTGGTTACAAAGAGAATCTTTGCAAAACTCTTCATTTTGCCTTGGTTGTCTACAAAGTCAAACTTTGGTATATGACTGGAGGGTGAAGTCAGCAAACCACTTCCCTTGCAAAGTGATTTTGTAACCCAAACCCTGAAAGAAATGTATTCTCAAATACAGGAAACAATTATAGTCACAGTCAGTTTGTTCAAAGTTGAACCCACAGACAGAACTGCAGCATGACTCCAATCAGCTCACTCATTTTACTTTGTCGATGTAAGAAGAAATTTATCTTCTACTCAGTTGCCCAGTAATGATATAATAGTCATGTAGCAATATGTTTGAGGTAGAATAAGGAGTCCTGCAAAAAGCAAATTACTTGTGTTGAGAATGGAGAAAAGAGATAAACCAAAATTTCCAGACCATTAATACTTTCTAAAGAAGCCTTGTCTGTTGAGATAGGAAAAGGAAGAGCAAATCCAGATTAATGATAGATAGATAGATAGATAGATAGATAGATAGATAGATAGATAGATAGATAGGGTTGTGTGTCTTGGTTATTCTTAGATCAACAAAACTTGACAATGAGAAAGCTTCAAATTGCTTCAACCAACAATGGCAACTAAGAAAAATAAATAGGTAAATATTTTAGTAACGTTGAAGAGGGCAGGAAACAATTTGACTAAGAGGAAAGTTTGCTGAAACCAATAAATACAATTCCTCATCACCCTCACCAGTAAATTTGTTATGGCTTATGAGTAGAGCTATTTATTTGAGCTATTAAGATCAACTATTTTTTTTTTTTTTTTTAAATACATTTAGATTAGACAATGCACATATAATTTGAAAATAAAGGACACAGACAATATTAAACATGCTTGTAAATTAGTATTTGATTAACAAACAAGAATTGCAATTTTAATATTTCAATGTTTATTCACATCATCCTCTGAACATTGAGAATTTTTGCTGTTTATTTATAGGAATACATACATGCAAATACAGAAAGTTATATATTTCTTTTTAAACATGTTTTTTGTTTTTAAACTATACAAATAATCAAGTTGGACGGAGAATTGTCTCCCACATTTACAAAATAAAATACAGAGAAAATTTTTTAAAAGCTTGAAGATAAAAATGTGTGTGTATATGAACAACATAAAGCTGTTGTATTTAAAACAATCATCCAATATGGACAATTCTATTTGGTCCAAATAATATAATGCATATAAAAGGTGAGGAGAAGAGGCAGAGGCAAACCATAACTTTGGAGATGGGGGGAGTATTTGAAAGAAATATATTGCAACAATTTTGTAAAACAAAACGTTATCAATCTATCAAGCCATAGTCAAATAATGAAAATCTTTGAAAATATAACATCCAGAGGACAAACAATGAATTGGAAAAGAATTTCAGGTTCTTCAATCATCAAATTGTTGGTTCAGTTTTAATTTTGGCATTTTTAAAGGGTTCTTTTTTTTTTTTTTTTATTTATTTAATAACAGTAATAAAATCAGAGGAGAGTGACATTTTGTTTTTAAATATTTGCATAATTTTTAATTTAATCTGTTAGTTGTTAAGTAAAATGTTATTTTTTTCATTTTAAAAAGGAAAACAGGAAGCCTTTTAACTCTTATATTCAAACTATTCAAAGGAGCTGAAGCTTCAAGGAATATCAATTTTGCATTTGGAGACAATGCTGTTAGTAAATTTCAAAATTTGACAGTGAAGCTCTCAGTTTAGAAAACAAAGAGACAAAACAATTGGATCAATGATAAATTATGGAAACAATCTAAAAATGTCAAAGGATTTGTAAATATCAATGCATTAAATGGAATCATCACAGAGCAAATGACAGAAAATGCTCAATAAATATCAATTGAAATGAATGAGAATTAAAAGTCACCAAATAAGGCTTGCTCTTCAACCATGTTCAACTACGAGATTGATCCATTTTGCACCATACTGCTTGTGATGAAGAGATTTTGTAAAATAACTTAAGTCTACACAAAGATTAGATACTGATGAGAAGCTGAAGTATGAATTAAAACTAGCATCATCTTGGAACATCAGTGAGCATTTGCTAAGTCAGATGCATCATAGCTTTCTTAGTAGTCAAATAATACGGGTTAATCTCCAGCTTTAAATAGTACATAGAAAACTCAATCTTTAATTTGAGGAAGTTTCTCTTTGTTAAATGGTAATATCCATCTTTATGTTGCAAAAATGGTATTACTAATATCAAATCTGTTGAAGATGGCAACTACCTATTTGCTAGGGATTATTTGTTTTGTTTCTCGCCAAGCATTTTTGCTTTCCTTACAGAAGTTTCCCGCAGTCAGACTTAAAATGTAGAAGCCTTAAATGATTTAATTTTTTTTATTTTTTTTTTTTTATTATGAAGCATTTTTGGAAAGTAATTTGTTAATTTGAAGCCAAAATAGAATAGATGTGTAGAGGCTAAGATATTTTGATTGAAAAAATATATTTACAAAATTTTGTAAAACATAATAATTTAATGTTGAACAACCTGAGAAAAAAAAAAAAAAAAAAAAAAAAAACACACACACACACACACACACACACACACTATTGGTATCACTCTAACAGCTAGAAATACTAGGTATGGATATATAGAGCCATACTAAATCTAAAAATATACTAACTTCCAAACTTTACCTTATAAACAGATAGAGATTAAAAAGAAAGTAATATACTAATTATACTAAGTTATTCAAAATAAAAGTAGTTTGTTCAGATTTTAAAGACAAGCAACATTTTCAGTGATTTTTTGAATTTGTCTCCAGATAACTGAAATAATTACCCTTTAAGATATGTAAAAGTTAATGATTTTGCCAGGAACAAAAAAATTATGTAGATTTCCCACTCATTTTACAAATAAAACATGTCAAATGTCCTTAAAAAAAAACTTCAGCCATTTTGGTAGAGAGCAAGGCAAATACTTCTAACAGATTCATTTATTTATTCATGACTTAACAAAAGCATATTTCAAAGTGTTCCTGCATATTGTGAATGGAGATTTTTCTGTACTATTTATTCAGATTATCTGAGTAATGTTTGAAATATTAAAATCATCTGGAGTACTTTTTGTTTGTTTTTTATATTTTACTGAGAATTGGGATTTCTTGTAAATAAATGGTTTTCTTCAAAAAATGTTGTAGAATAACAATGATATGGTGCTGAAAAGTTCTTGACCCCACCACTTCCCAAAATCTGACAAAATGACCAAACATTAGATAGATAGTTTGTTTTTTTTTTTTTGTTTTTTTTTTTTAATTCCAAGAACTTTTCAACACCCTCTTGAAGTTGATTTGATAGACACTGAACAATGTTTTCATTACCCAAGAAAAAGTGGCAAATAACTTCAGGTGTCACTGACTTGTATCATAAATTCAAACACTGAACTCAGAAAAATTAATATTTAGAGAAAAAAATCTAGAAAATAACATTTTTATATAAACTTGAATTATTCAACCTTACTTTGCAAGCAACAATATCTAACTCTGAAAACTAGATTTTCTTTTTTTGTATTGATGCTCTGAAAACTAAACTAGTAAAAGCATTACAAATGGTTATGTCATCTAAAACATTTAGCTTAAAATTAAATTTATATGCATAAATGTTTTTCCCATATAGTGTCAAGTGCATTAAAAATGATATAATTTACAATTGTGATTTTAGATTTAATTTAAAATTTAAAGAGAGAGGAATGGCCTAACAAAAAAGATATTAATCTAAAAGATTTTTCTACATTTTGAATATATAATAGGTAATTAGAGATTTTAAGAACTACAAAAATTTTAGTGTGTTTAAACAGTTTATAATAATAAATCAAAAGTTTTCAAAAATCATTATAAAAATTACCTAGTGTTTCATATTATTCCTTACTTAAAACAGCCAAAATTCTTTTCAGTAATGAGGAATATAGATTCAAAATAAAAGAATGATCAATATTTGCCTACTTTGTTTTTTTAATATCTCAAAGCTGATCAGTACTTCCAATTTATCTTTCCCATTCCTTTTTGATAGAATCCAACAATTTTCTAGAATATTCTAGTCAGTAGACTTGCTTAGCCAATTTTTGAAATTTATGACCTTTTCTTTTAAATAATTCATGACTGACTTGATGAAAAATGTACTAATTTTCATATATGTCATCATATCTATGTTGACATTCTTTCAAATTTCCAATTCCATTGTATAAAATTATTACACCTCTTTTCACCTCCTCAGACTGTACCCCATGCTCTAATTGCTGCTGAGTATTTTACTAAAATCATTTTGTATTTAAATGGCCAGCTTTCTTGTGGATAGTTTCTTTGATTCAATGACAATTTTCATTTTATTCAGATTTATGTTTACAACCAGATTTTCATCTATTTGAAAAACCTTGCCATTTAAAACACAGTTGATATTCCTAGAGACAATTTTCATGTAGGTTTTCCCAACTTCACAAAGACCAACATCTTTCTGATATGTTTCAATTGAAAACTGACATTTGGCATTAAATCTAGAATCACAATTTTAAGTCCTGCAATTTTTATTGCACTTGAAACTGTTTGGTTTAAAACATTGCTTGTGACTATATAGCTCATGTCATAAAAAATACAAGAGGGAGCACAAATTTTTAATAAAATTAAAATTATTAAATAAAGTTTAAAATTTTTAATAAAGTTATAAAATCCAAAAAAGAAAATTTTTTAACAATGACTTGATGTCTATGTCCATATCTATTTTAAAAACACAATGAATTTTTACATGTGAATGTTCTTCTATAAATATTCTAAATTTTATTTAAAATTATTTAATAATGAAATAAGAAATAAATAACAAAATATTCATTTTAACAATAAAACCAATCACAGGATCACTTAAGCATGAAACTTTTAAGATAATGAGTATATAGGAACTTTTAAAAATAGTTTCCAAAATAAATAATTCCAATAGCCAAGATAGCATAAGCAGAATAGTTCTGAGAAATTCAGAGTTAATTTTTGGTTGAATAAAATGTTAACATTCTGGAATACTACTCAACAAATGCTTTTTTAACATTCTCAATTTCATGTAATTAACCAGTGCATTTTAGAATTTTTTAGAATTTTTATGACAGGTTAGACAAAGTCACAACATTCTATAAAAACTCTATAGAAATTAATATAGCTGAAATTTACAATTCTTGCAGGATAGCACAAAATACTAATGATCACTGGATATCTAAAAGTTTTTCTTGCTTCAAATTACAGCACCAATATGTGCACATTAAAAAATAATTATTTTTTTTTAAAAAGGCATACATCACAATTTCTTAAACTAAAGTTATAACAATTTTTATACATTTTTTTTTTAAGTGCTAACTCAAAAGTATCAGCAAAATTGAGGTTTTAATAAATTTTGAATAAGTATTATTTTTTTTTTACATTTGTTTACAGTAGTTATAAATTGTCTGAAAACAATGCAAAAAATGAGTTTTCTTTAATCAATGGAAATTCAGTCATAGTAAATATACATTTGATAAAAAAAAATATTTATCACAACACAGCAACTATAAAAGTTTCATAGTTTCTTGTTACTACAGAATAAAGAAATATTTTCATACAGAAACCAAAATTTATACACCTCAAGACCATCAATTGTCATAGAGAAAGTTTACTACTTTGTATTAATGAAGCTTAACTGAAGACTAAACATACAATCTGCAAAGAATAAAAAGTTTTAGAGACAACAGCAGGTTCCTATTTTTAAAATGTTTTAATTATGAAAATAATTTTCCCTTCAAGATAATCTGTTATATCAACCATAAAAGATTTTTTACATCTTAATGTGCGTCAAGACAAAAATTAAATTTACCGAAAAATTAAATGTAAAGACTTGTCTGAAAAATGGCCTATATATATATATATATATATATATATATATATATATATATTTAGATTCATTCTTATTAAGGATATATATATATATATATATATATATATATATATTTAGATTCATTCTTATTAAGGAAATATATATATAATTACAAATACATACACGCATGCATGCACACATTTTAGTTATCACACACACACGAAAAAAAAAATCCACCATATAGGCAGTACTTTTTTTTTTTAAAAACACCAATCTCATAGTTTTTGCTGAGAGGTCGTCAAATGTTACTGAATTTCTTCTGATAATAAAATCATTAAATTGCTTCCTTCTCATCAGGAAAATAAAATACTTTGTGATGAAAAAATATTTATTCCAATTGTTCCATTCCATCTCCATTAATCTTGTCTAAGCATATCTGGAGCTAGTGTACAAATGAACTGAAGAGAAAGAACATGATAAGGAGACCCATTGATAAATATTACCAATTTTTTTTAACCGAAAAATGGATTCATAGAAAAGTAAAATGAGTCAATTTTAATACAAATTGTATAAAAGCATGTGCATTCCATTTATAATTAGACACAATGTGGGAGATGATCTTTCCTAATTTTATCAGGTTTATTTAAAACATTTTCATAATTCATACTAAAATGTATTGAGAACAGCACTATAAATAACCAAGCCAGTTATGAAGACTACAAAAGAATTTATCTTTCACAAATCCAATTATTATTCATCTTACACACAAAGTGAAAGGGAGGAAAAAATTATAGAGCTCAGAATCAAAAGAATGCTCTAATGGACATGTGCTGACAATGAACACTCAGCTGGGTTATTAAACACAATTTGTTGTCATAGAATTTTGGAAAAAAAAAATAGACAGTATAATTCTGACATTTTTTGTAAAATTTATTTATAAGTATTACCACTTCACATATGATTTCTATTTTAAACTAATGATGAAAATAATAAAATAACTTGCTTCTTTTGCCAGATTATCAAGAAATATGCGGCATACAGATTTTATCTTTGCTTTGTTGGCACTAAGTCATTAGAAAAAAAGGCTTAGACATTTCAAAGTGGGCATTTTATTACAACAGTATTGTAAATACTCATAGGAAATGGTAAAAGACTTACACATGAAATGCAGCTTTCCTTTTAATATTTCAAATAAACCTTCATATGAGATGACAGGAACAATTAAGAAAAAATTTTTTCAAACATTTTCCTCTAACATAAGTTTTACATATGAGTCTCCAGGTTTTAATTACATGTAAATATTTTTTCAACAGAAAACCACTTTTTTTTCTCTTTTTCTTCACTTATCTTTTTCACATAAATTAATTCCGTTTACTATTTTTTGCCTATTTGCTGTATTTTTAAATGTTTTTTTTTCTCTTTTCAAAGTTTAAATTTTAATAATAACAAATGGTTGTGACCAAATCAGCTCTGACATTGCGGATGGTTTGGTGAATATCGTTCTAAAACTTCCTTGAAAGACAAAATGAGATTCTGTAGTCCAAATAAATATCCTTTGTCTGGACCATAATGTATAATTTTGTCCTCACAGAATCCTTGGTGTGTGGAATGTGCAAAATCTATCATGCGTACCTCCACCTCAGGCCAGTGCTTGTCCCATGTGTGCTGCAAGCCATAACTACACTTGTCTGATGAATCATTGTCCAGCCTTGGTGAGCAATGATGGTGGTGTCTGCTACTACTCTCTACAGCACCATCGTACATGACTAGTAGTGAACTGGTATAAAAGCGGAATGTATCTTGCTTTTCAACCATAGCATAAAGTTGCTGCAGGCGCCAAATAATTGGTTTGATTAGGTTCAATCTTGCTTCTATGCCATTGTGTAAAAATTTGTATAGTGTCTCTTTGAAGCCTTCAATTGTCAAGGTTCGCCCATGATATTTATTCTGGTACACATATTGCCCTTTGTCTACATGGTACACCTGCAGATTATATTAATAGAAATAAAAAATAATTTCAAACAATTTTAATTATATATTCATACATTTAAAAAATCATTTTTACAATATTTTATAATGAACTGAAAACTGCTTGAATTTGTTTTTATAAATTTATTTACTGAGCTAGGGTGAATTTATAAATACTTAAAAACTTAATTATTTTATTAATTTATAACAGTAGGTATCCCCAATTGCACTGAAAACTTGTCCTTCCATTTCAATTACTGATATCTTCTTTATTTTCAAGTTTATTTTGATAAAATTAACATATAAAGATAATTTAATCTTTTTTTTTTATGAATACTTTCTTGTATGTGATAATTAGTTTTTATTGTTTTTTTCCACATCTGTTTAAATTATGTCACTATTTCAATGACATGCACTTGTTTTTCTGCATTCTCAAATTTGTTGCATTTTGAATTGTCACCCTACACATATAGTACTATCTCAAAGAAAGAAAGAGAGAAAGAAAGAAAAGAAAGAAAGAAGAAAGAAAGAAAAAAAGAGAAGAAAGAAAGAAAAGAGAAGAAAGAAAGAAAAAAAGAGAAGAAAGAAAGAAAAAAAGAGAAGAAAGAAAAGAGAAGAAAGAAAGAAAAAAAAGAAGAAAGAAAATGAAAAAAAGAAAAAAAGAAAAAGAAAAAAAAAGAAAAAAAAGAAAAGAAAAGAAAAATGAAAGAAAGAAAAATGAAAAAAAGAAAAAAGAAAAAAAAAAAAAAAAAGAAAAATGAAAAAAGAAGAAAAAATGAAGAAAAATGAAGATAAAGAAGAAAAAAATGAAGATGAAGAAAAAATGAAGATGAAGAAAAAAAAAAAGATGAAAAAAAAAAAAAAAAAAAAATGAAAAAAAAATGAAAATGAAAAGAAGAAAAAAATGAAGATGAAGAAAAAATGAAGATGATGAAGAAAAAATGAAGATAAAGAAAAAATGAAGATAAAGAAAAAATGAAGATAAAGAAAAAATGAAGATAAAGAAAAAATGAATGATAAAAAAAAAAAAAAAGAAAGATAAAGAAAAAAATGAAGATAAAGAAAAAAAAATGAAGATAAAGAAAAAAATGAAAAAAAAAAAAAGAAAAATAAAGAAAAAATGAAAAAAAAAAAAATGAAGATAAAGAAAAAAAAATGAGATAAAGAAGAAAAATGAAGATAAAGAAGAAAAAAATGAAGTAAAAATTAAGATAAAGAAGAAAAAAATGATAAAGAAGAAAAAAATGAAGATGATAAAGAAGAAAAAAATGAAGATGATGAAGAAGAAAATGAAGATGATGAAGAAGAAAATGAAGATAAAGAAGAAAAAAAAAAAAATGAAGATAAAGAAGAAAAAATGAAGATAAAGAAGAAAAAAATGATAAAGAAGAAAAAAATGATAAAGAAGAAAAAAATGAAGATGATAAAGAAGAATAAAATGATAAAAAGAAAAAATGAAGATGATAAAGAAAAAAATTATGATAAAGAAGAAAAAATGAAGATGATAAAGAAAAAAAATGAAGATGATAAAGAAGAAAAAAATGAAGATAAAGAAGAAAAAAATGAAAATAAAAAATAAAAGAAAATGATAAAGAAAAAAAATGAAGATGATAAAGAAAAAAAAGATGAAGATGAAAAAATAAAGAAAAAAAAAAAAGAAGATAAAAGAAAAAAATGAAGATAAAAGAAGAAAAAAAAGAAGATAAAAAAAAAAATGAAGATGATAAAAAAAAAAAATGAAAAGAAAAAAAAAAAATAAAGAAAAAAAAATGATGATAAAGAAAAAATGAAGATGATAAAGAAAAAAAAAAGAAGAAGAAAATGATGATAAAGAAGAAAAAAATGATGATAAAGAAAAAAATGATGATAAAGAAGAAAAAAAAGAAAGAAAATGATGAAAAAATGAAAAAATGAAAGAAAAAATGAAGATAAAGAAAAAAAATGAAGATAAAAAAAATGAAGATAAAGAAAAAAAAAAGAAGATGATAAAGAAAAAAAAGATAAAAAAAAAAAAAAAAAAAGAAAAATGATAAAGAAAAAAATGAAGATGATAAAGAAGAAAAAAAAGAAGATGATAAAGAAAAAAAAATGAAGATGATAAAGAAGAAAAAAAAAAATGAAGATAAAAGAAGAAAAAAATGAAAGAAGAAAAAAAAAAATAAAAAAAAATGATAAAAAAAAAAAAAATGATGATGAAGATAAAAAAAAAGATGATAAAAAAAAAATGAAGATGAAAAAGAAAAAAAGAAGAAGAAAAAGAAAAAAAAAATGATAAATGATGAAAAGAAAAAATGAAGATGATAAAGAAAAAAAAAAAGAAAAAAATGATAAAGAAAAAAAAATGAAGATAAAGAGAAAATGAAGATAAAGAGAAAATGAAGATAAAGAAAAAATGAAGATAAAGAAGAAAAAAATGAAGATAAAGAAGAAAAAATGAAGATAAAGAAGAAAAAAATGAAGATAAAGAAAAAAAATGAAGATAAAGAAAAAAAAATAAAGATAAAGAAGAAAAAAATGAAGATAAAGAAGAAAAAAATGAAGATGATAAAGAAAAAATGAAGATGATAAAGAAAAAAATGAAGATGATAAAGAAGAAAAAAATGATGATAAAGAAAAAAATGAAGATGATAAAGAAGAAAAAAATGATGATAAGAAAAAAATGATGATAAAGAAAAAGATGATAAAGAAGAAAAAAATGATGATAAAGAAAAAAATGAAGATGATAAAGAAAAAATGATAAAGAAAAAAATGATGATAAAGAAGAAAAAAATGATAAAGAAGAAAAAAATGAAGATGATAAAGATAAAAATGAAGATGATAAAGAAAAAAATGAAGATAAAGAAAAAAAAAATGAAGATAAAGAAGAAAAATGAAGATAAAGAAAAAAAAATAAAGATAAAGAAAAAAAAATAAAGATAAAGAAAAAAAAAAAGAAGATAAAGAAGAAAAAAATGAAGATAAAGAAGAAAAAATGAAGAAGATAAAGAAGAAAAAAATGAAGAAGATAAAGAAGAAAAAATGAAGAAAAAAAGAAGAAAAGTTGAAAAAAGAAAAAAGAAACTGGATATATTTTATAAAAAATTAAAAAAGGCTGAAGCTGGATATATCTTTTAGCTTAACTTTAGCTTAACAGGGAGCATAAAAAATTTGAAACATAATTAGGAGGTAATTTTCAAAATGTAATTGAATTCTTTTTTTTTTATATGATTATTTGTTTACTAATTCTAGAGATAAGGTCTGATTTAGGACGTTAAAATGAACTAGTTACATTTTCTAAAAAAAAATTTTTTTTTTTTTTTTTTTTTACATGAATACATTTTATGATTCTTCACCTTTTGCAAACATGCAGTCTTTTTAAATTTTTTTTCCTTAAGCCATTTTAGAAGATAAACATGTTTTAAAAAGCTATATCTTTTTTTTTCTTTTTGTATTAGTGCTTTCCATGCCAGAGACCCCTACAGAAGTGTTTAATAAAATTTACATTTAATCTTCTCTTCAGTGGATTATAAACTCTGAGCCCTGAGAACCAGTTTTCTTCTAAGTGAGATAAGCAGGTCAAAGACACTAAATTCCTTGCTGGTAGTTAAAAATTATGATGAAGAGAATAGACATTACAGTGATATAATTTTTAATGGAAGGTCATATCCAACTAAAGGAACAAAGAAATGAAGAAAAGGCACTCAATGAATCTGAGTATTCAAGCAACACTAGCATTTGTGATGAAGAACCACTATAAATGATCTATAAGGCTAATGGGTTGCAGTATGACCAACTTCTACATTACTGTTTTGTTGAATTCCTCATACCAAAATTAGCAAAGTTTAAAAATTTCAAACTTGTACCTCCATTAGATACATTTTATGGTAAGTACTGGATTGCATACTTTTAACCTGTTTTGGCACATCTGTCTTTACATAGTGGAAATAGGAGTTTTGCTTTTATTGATGTACAACTGAAAAAAATAGCTCTGTTATGCTATGATTCATAGCAAGAAATTAACTTTTGAAATGAAACTTGTATGAGTAGTCAAAAAATGACATAGAAGGACAATTCTAAGAACACAATTTTCCCCAATGACTAGGCTGGTCAAATAAATTGTTGATTCCATTAGTATTATCTTTCTTTTACTTCAAGACTATCTATATGACACTATATTTATGATTTTTAACTAGTTTGAAGCCTGCATCTTCAGTTATACACTATTAAAATTGGTTTCTAGCCCTATAGCACACAAGATGGAAAAAGTGCTGGTCAACTTCGAATAATCATAATTTGGTTGCCAAGATACATTTGGTGCCATTTTTTATGTTTTGGTAGCTTTCTATGTATGAAAAGTTTTTAGATATTTGGAAAATAAAATTTTAGTTTGGGATACCTAAAAATAGACAAATATAAAATGAAATATTTTTAATGTCATAATAAACTAACCAGAAGTTCTAATGTAAAGAAAGAGCCAATTTTAAAATGTTTTGCTACAGGAATAACCCACCTTCATTCCACAAATGCGAACCCCAAGTGAACTTGATGTACTCTCCTTACAACGAAGTATTTTCTTTTGTTTTTTTTCCTCTGAATGATCATCTCCATGCTGTCTAGGACCCATCTTCAAGTCAAGGACACAAGGGTATCTGAATTTGGCAGCTACATTCTCTAAAAGAATAAATTCTGAGAAATTGTTAAGGAACTATTCAACAATTATTTCATTTGAAACCAAAAAGGTTTTTAACTTCTCAATTTTCACAGTACTTATGAGGTGACAGCAATTTTCAAATAGATTTTAGGTAAATTTAACAAGTCATATCAATTATGTATAGAAAAATCAAAAAGTCACTAATAAATACATGTGTTGAATTTCAGGAATCTCAGAGTAAAATAGAAATCAACAGTTACATTTTATTAACCTCTATTAGATGAAAACATTTTTCCTTCCTTTACTTCAAACAGTTAAAAGAATAGATCATCTGTTGCAGCAGATGGATCTAATAACAGGCAAATGCCTTTTCTTTCCACACACACACACACACACACACACTTTAACAAATCATTAAATGATCAGCCAAACATGTATAAATTAGGATACTTGTAAAATTTTCTCTTATTTCTTCAACAAGAGGTTTACTCTACAACATTTTATTTAATTTCTCTCATTTGTATCATTTCATTACTCTCACATTATAATGATTAAATATGAAAAATAAATACATGTTCCACTAAGTGAATGATGTAACTGTCACTGATGTGATAGTATATAATATTATCAGACATTTAATTTACTTACATATTTTATGATATCACACTCACTTCTATGTATACTAACTTGTTCCTTTATTATTCACTACTGACCTTAAACTGAAAGAGAGCCTGAGAGGAAAGGGAGGCAGTAAACTTTAAGGACCTATTAGTAGTCTTCTCTGACTTCTTTCTTTTTTCTATTGTTGGTTGTATGAGGCAACATGGTAATTATCCATGTTTGCTATGTCTGAAATTCATCCACTCTAAGACACAATGTGACTATCATTTCTTTGAGTTTATTCTAAATTGTTCCTGTTTGAAGAATGTTTTCCTTGTTTGTGTATTCCTTTAAAATGTATTTCGTTTGTAATTTCCTTTTGAGGGTTATATTTGTTTGTTTCTAATTTTCATGGTGTTAATTTTGCTTTGATTATTCAATAAAGAATAAGACATCAGAGTATGAAATGTGTATCTTTTTCATTGAGACTTGCATGTAGTTACAGATGATTATTTCAGTTAATAGGAATAAATGACATCTTTAAATGGTGTACATATTATCAAGTTTTTGTTATTCACAGGAAAGAAAAAAGAAAAAAATCATTAACAATTAAAGGATATTATAGCAATCTGAATGTCCTGTTGTCTTAATCTTGTTCAGCTGTAGTTTATGGCATCGTACGCTCCATGGTGTGTGTATATTTTCCCGGCGCCTTACTCCACATTCATAGTCTTCTTCCTCCTCTTGCTCATCATCATCATCGTCATCATCATCATCATCATCATCAGTATGCACAATCTTTTTACTATCAGTGCATGATGTGTTTCGACGTGGGGGTAAGTCTAAACTTGAACTTCTCAAGAGGTGAATACTGAAAGAAAAATTCATTCAAACATAAGATATATATTGTTTTAAAAATACTGGGACATAATTTACTGGTGTTAATAACAGTAGTACTAATAAATTTTCAGAATTGATAAATGATATACAATAGGTACTTATCATAGAAAATTTTAGTAACTAATTCAGTAATGTTATATTAAAATTAATCATTTTTAGGTCATATTAGGGTGTTCTAAAAGTAATTATTTCATCACTATAAATTATGAGTCAACCAAACAAGGAAGAAGAAAAGTTGAATCGTAGGAAATAGAATCTAAAATTAGTTTACTATCTCTTCTATCCGATAGAGGTGCATCTATTGTAAATTTCAAAGTTTAGTTTCAAACACAAGGTTCCACTATTTGTAGCAGTGTTAACTAGGAATGCTAACCTTTCATTTTTGCATTGCATGAAAAATAGGTTTTGCATGTCAACAGAAAATGGGGGGGAAAAAACAAAAAAAAAACAACAGTGGTTATCACAAAATGAGAAACCAATGCCAACACCAAAACTATCTACAAAAAAAAAAAAAAAAAAATCATTAGGATGAGTGGTTCTTTCACATCCTCAATACACACCAGATTTTGCCCCTACAGATTTTCATTTGTTTTGATCAATAGAACATTTCATAAGTGATGGAAAATTGAGAAACAATTGAAAACAGTTTTTGGTGGGAAAAAAATCCAGATTTCTTTAAATGTGAAAATCAATAATGTGCCTTCTCACTGAACTGCAGTCATTGAAAATGAAGGTAATTACATTTTATCGAAAAATAATATTCAAATTTAACTCACGTATGTTTTTATATCAATTCTGGTAAAAATGTACTTATTTTCAATTCACTCTAACATATAAAAACATGAAACAGAAAGCTTCTGATATATCCAATAAAGAAGTGTTTGATTTTCAACATCAAAATTTAATTGCTTAGTAAATTAAAAAGTAGTCTAAAAGTTTGAAGAAAATTTATCTATAATTTACTATGCTAGTGGCATGCTTAAAGCAAAATCTAATTGCTTAATGTAAATGGCATCTCTCAACGCTTATGTGTAATTCAGAATTCTTTAAAATTGATATACAAATATAGAATAGACACTGTTCTGCATGATTAAAGTAATTTTAAAATAATACAAACTTTTATTTGCATTATTATTATTATTATTTGCAGAATACAATATACAGTGTATTTACAGTCGTGTTCTTCTGTTCACCAATAGAGAATAAATTATTGTGTCGATACTAAATAGATAATAGTAATAAAATCAACACCAAATTGTAGAAAAGAAACTTACCTAAAAGAACCATTTCTATCTGTTTGTTTCTGCTGTTGCTGTTGTCTGCATGTCCGAATAAGACTTTTAGTGTTTTCTGATTCTGTGTCAGAGGATCCTTCCAAATGGCTACTAGTGGAATGGTGGCGAGTTGGTGACCGCTTAAGTGATTTATATTTTGGTGGATTGCCAACTAGAGTCACATAGCCATCATTATCTTCTCTAACATGTACTTGAATCACACCTACATTTCATTAGTATACAAAAATATAACATTGAAATTCTTCAGTTTCTCACTAATGAATAAAAATTAAAAATGAAATCAGTGTAGATCATTGTAATTATTTCATAGCATGCTCAAATGTATAAACTAAAGACAATATAATTAAATTATATTAGGGACTTCCACAAAAATGCAATACCTAAGGTTTAAAATAAATTTTTAAAAATGAAAAATCTTTCTTGAAGCTTTTATTTTAGTTTTAATTTCAAGCTAATAGATTAAATTTAATATTTCCAATAAGAAAAATACTTTGCTGTATTTCAAAAACTAATTTAAATTGATTTGAAAGATTTTTTTTTTTTGCTAAAGTTTCATCACAAAAATAATCTTCCAAAAACAAAATGTACTTTTCTGAAACTTAGCAGATTTAAAGTATAATTAATCTGATTTGAAACATTATTTAGTTTAAGTTTAAAATATTGCAGAAATTTTTTTTTAACACAGCAATAACTGTTGATGTATTTTCAGTAAATGGTGTTTCTGTTTGACAAAAATAAATTGATGATTTAAATTCCCCAAGGAGTCCTGCTTTTAACTAATATGAATGTGAAGAGGGTGGAATTTTAATTTCTTGATGTTTCATAAAATTAAGTAGCAGTAACTATTTTTTTTTTTTTTTTTTTTTTTTTAAGCGTTTCACCCCAAGCAAGGCGAGAAGCCACTAGGACGCAAGGGGTTACAGAAAATTTGGAGCAAGATCAGATAGGAGCAATAGAGGAGAAGATGAGGAGAAAGATAGTGGATAGATCAAGGCAACTGAAGATGTCGATTGACATTACATTTGAATAGCTGGAGATTATAGCTATCAGGGAAACTGGAATAGGGAAGGGAGTTCCACAGGCGAGAGGTGCGAGACATGAAGCTATTGGAGTAGAAGAGACGGCTACATTTAGGAGTTTTGACAGTGAAAGGGTGAGAGCGGGATGCCAGCCACGTAGGGCGCTTGAACTCATGAAGTCTGGGGAACCAGCGAATGCAGCTTCTCGGAGCAATTACCATGAAAGTATTTGTAAAACAAACAGAGAGAGGCGACGGCGCGTCTGTGAGAGAGGTGACTGATAGACGAGATGCCAGAACAGGACCAATTATATTGCATATCCGCCTCTGAGCCTATCAAGAACCCTCCAGGCAAACAGCGGGATTTGTAGATCTGGAGGATAGATTCGGGAGAAAAAATTTCCTGGCGCGCAGCACAGGGAGCCAACTTTCCTTGTGGTGGATGAAGCAATTGACTCAATGTATTTGTTCCATCTCAGGTCAGCCGTCAACGTGAGACCGAGCAGCCACAGAGAGTTGCTCTCGAGAAGTTGAGCGTCAGACATTCTAATGGAGATCAGTGAAGGATCTCTGTGGTGATTAATAGAGAGCAGTTTTGTTTTTGAAGCATTAAAGTTGACCAGCCAATTCCTGCCCCAGTTCACTACTGATTGGAGATCCTTTTTGAGACACACGGCCAGGTTAAAAGTTTTATTAAAATCTGACAATTATTTGATTTTTGCAAAAAAAGACTAAATTTCCCATATTAATCTTTGGCCCACCCGCTGATGCAAAAAAATAGATTTTAAGCAAAATTTAAACATGCTAGAAAGGATTAAAAAAAAAAAAAATTTAATAAAATAATTAAAAAATACTTTGTTCTTTAATCCTAATAACAACATTTTTAATAAAATTTTTTCATCAAGTTTGGGGCCATTTTTCATCATAGCATGCTCTTTATAAGCAAATTTTGGGAGTACCTAAATTATATTTACATTAATTAAAACTGTTACAATATCAAAAACAAAAAATGGACAATGTAAAAATGTAATTTAAAATATAAAGTGGGTTTTAGCATGTGAATAACAAATCTATTTAAGTCATCAACTCCATAAAGAGATAATACAATAATAAATTAATCCTGATTAGAAAAAATAAATGTTTTACCTCTGTAAGCTGGTGTAAATTCTTTGAGATCAGTAGGCAGGGTTTCATAGAAATAGCGTTCTCGTGATGTGAGAGGTTTACAAAGGGTAGTGTCATTGTAGTGCAGAAAAGAGCAATGACCTCCGACTTGATGATTGTAGGGCTTTAGCTCCACAAATCCTGACGCCGCCAACTCTGGTTCCATAACCAACTCAGGCATTCTTAGAACTCGGTCAATGCCCACGATACAAACAACTGCATTAAAAAACATAAATCAAAATTAAAATAAATAATATAAAAGTGTAATATACAAGGTTGGATCAATAAGTCCTTGGCTCTCATGTAGTTATTAGGTAAATTTTTCCTAAAACTTTTGCACTATAAAACTTGATCCCTGTGATTAATATTCACAATCGTATTTAATGCAATAACAAAGGTTTTGTTGGAAAAAAAAAAAACCTGTGTAATAATTGTTATCATCATCAGGCTATATAATAAATTGATATACCAGCTTATGCAAATTTAAGCAAGATGCCAAGTTAGGAAAAATGGATCAAAAGGGTAGAAAATAATTACCAAAACATTATTAGTTTCTACCTCTCAACTTTTCTGTGTGAGTCAATGATTCAAGAGCAAATCTATACATAATCAGAGGGCTTAGCCAGAGGAAAATTTCATGGTGTATTCTTAATGAATAATGCTTCTTGAAAGTAGAGGTAAAACTGTTTCTTTATAGATAAATAAAAAAGATCATTCAGGAAAAATTAAATTAAATGATTACATCATCTAGATATCCTACTCATAAACCTAATGATGAAAGCTTAAACACATCTCTTTTTCAGCACACTACTATGTCAATGCAATTAATCCAACATTCCTGTATTAATCATTTAGTTCAAACATAATACAGTGAAAATTTCAGATCAACATTGGCTTATAACTGTTAGGCTATAGGATTAGTGATTCATCATATATATCTTCAAAATTTGTCTTTTTTAAGAAAACTAAATCAGGGAAAGCTCTGTGTGTATCTATCTCTCTATATCTATATCTCTCTATCTATATATACATACACATACAAAGCCTCACACCAACTTACCTCTTAAAATCTGAGCAAATGTCCAAACATGAGAATTGTTTTTTTGAATCCCTTCTTAGCCAGTTTATATAAGTAAAAACACTATTCATGTGTATAATGTGACCAAAAAGTATTTGCCATTTTTAATTTATTACAAAAAAGTATATAACAAATTTGACATACTGTTTAGTCCTCAAAGTAATCCCCAGTGTTATTCAGAACCTTTTTGCTAACATGCCTTCAGCTGTGCAATTCTCTGATGGTAAAAATCAGGTATCTTGGATACAAAATGTCAGTCTGTAAGTACCTGTTACAAGTCTGCCTCATTTGTGAAGGATTTCCTATGAAGGGGATTGTCCAGAGAATAGAAGAGGTGGTAATCTGTTGGCATGAGGTCTTGGGAGTTTTGTCTCCCAGCCAAGTCACCAGATGGTATCCCTGACCACCAGTGCCACATGAGGCCTGGCATTGTCATGGAGGAACAGTATACAGCAATTAACCAATGCTGGTTCCTGCTTAAATGCCTATTGCATACATTCCAATTGCTGAGAGTATGAATGTAGTAAGGATTTGACCCATTGGTAGCAGCTTATCATGCACCACCTGTCAACTAGTCCACCAGGTACAGAGCATAATCTTGGGCGTGTGTAGAGGTTGTCTTGTGGTGTAAGGTTGAAATTTAGCTTAGTAACAGCCAAACTCGGCAAAAAAGGTTGGGAAACTTTGTCATTACGTCATGGAATCCCGCGTAACACAGTTAACAGAGACCTGAAACCATCAATATACATCATAACAAGTGAGATAAAGAAGAAGGAAAAACCACTTGAAATAGCTATAAAATTTAGTGTGGAAAAAAAAAAAAAAAAAATGGGGGAAAAAAAATAGTCAGATGTTAAAGTTCACTGGTACAACTTGAAAATAACTGCCAAAAAAAGATCCCTGTGGCGAGCCCTTAAAAGGACTCAACAACAGTTCAGAGAGAGTGAAAAGAGGTACAGAGATAGCAGAAAGAGGGGAAAATTAGACTTACAGTTCAAAAAAAAAAAAAAAAAAAAAAAAAAAAACTTAGTATTTTTTTTTTTTTAAATGACTGGAAAGGTTTTTTGATATTTTTGAGTTTTCTCCCTTGGAAGATAAGCAAGATTCCTGTTAAAATAAATGCAGACTTGTTTTTTCAAACTTTCTCTGTGACACAAATTCAACTTCTTAGATCTTTTTTTTAACAGTTTTTTTTATTTAGGATTTCGTCCACCAATAGGACAAAATAACTCCTCGAAGGAAAGTAGCTTTTCAACCGCTTGACTTTTGTTCATGTTTCTCTTTTTGAAAAATCGTCAAAAATTTTTGCGAATGTTCTATTGTAAAATTTCTTTACAATAATTACTTTAACCGATTTTTTTTAAGTCTTTACTGACTTGTCCTTGGTTGCTGAACAATAATCCACTTGATTACTGGAACAGAATCTTCAAGCAAAATAATTTTTCGCAGACAAGACAACTTCTCTTCACACTGCGTTTGGACACTTTTTTCTTGTCAGAGCAACAACAGGTTATCTTCATGCAAGTTTTCTTTTTTTTAAAAAGCAAGACAAGACGACAAATCTTCACACTGCGAACACACTTTCTTTCTGGCTACTACTGACTAGATTCCTCTAATTTAGTCGAAAAATAAGCTGGGAAAATCACGTACGACCAATTGTTAGACACGATTTCAAGATACGTGACACAGCAGCAGCAGTTCTTACACTGCACACAGGGGGAAAAGGAGAGGAGGAAGGAAAGTAAGAGAGATAGAAAGATAGATACAGAAATTAAATTTCTGACAGTAAGGCACAGAGTCCCATGTAACAATCAATGCTTGGTATGCTTGAGAGTGTCATACCAGACCCACTTTTCATCACTGGTGAGCACTTTATCAAATATGGGTATGTTGCAGTGCAGAGGAAGCAATGAGAAACAGGCTGTCACACATTGTTGCAGACTGTGGAGTACCCACTTGCTCAACTTGTATGCCTTCTCTATGCAGTACAGGTGAAGTCTGACTGTTTTATCAAAAACCTGGAAGCATTCAACAAACACTACAAACACACTATAAATGCCTTCAGCTTCTCATCATCCTGGATCTGTGGCCAGTCACTGCAGTGTTCATCATAAAGGGACAGATCTCATCACCTGAACTTCTGGAACCAATGCCTGCCAGTGCATTCACTCACAGCATTATCCACAAAGGCTTGACATATTTGGTGATTTGACACAGCTGTGGACAAGCCCACCTTAAAATCATAAAGCAGACAACTCTGAACGAGCTGCTTCAACATGGCCATGTTTCCTCACTGCTGCTTGAGCTATGACTGACGTATATGCACAACACACCTACATTGGTCAAGAGCAATGCCCCAACCCTCACCACTTTCCCAGTACATGATGCACTCATTTGTATATCAGTGATCACTTCTTCTCATGCAATGTAAAAAATGGTAAAAACTTTTTTGGTTAGCTTGTACTTAACATTTTCAAAAATAGAGTATTTTTGTTTATTTAGTCTTATTTTTTTTAATTTATGCTAATATTATCACACTGGTTATTTAAATGTTCAACAAGATATTGTAAAGATAATGCTTATTGAATAATTTAAATTTTCCAAATATATTAGCCTATTTTCAAGCAAAGAGAAAAAAAAATCATGCAGAGAAATCCTAAGAATAAAATAAAAAAATATATATAAAAATTCTCAAATTTAATCACTTTGATATTTGAACTAGTCAAAAGTAAATCTTCCAAATTTCATAGAGATCACATTTACTTAAAAGATGATCATTATTTTTATACAACGATAATTAGCAAGAATTATGTACTCATGATTTGTATATATATTCATTACACAAGTTTAAAAAAATGTTTTTTTTCTTCTATATTTTATGATAAAACTGGTATAAAATAATTTTATAGTATTAGAGCTATTTTAAAATACTAATACCAAATGCTTTTGTTTTGTATACTTGTAAAATACAAAAAAACAAATTATGATATTTATAAAATGTAATAGTCATAAGATACATTTTATATATTCAATTACAATTCTATTTCTGGAAGGATATTTTCCACAAATGCCTGCTAACAATGACATTGTTCAAACAGCTTTACTGAAAATGTTCATGACATTTTAATACTTATAAGTGATTTTTTTTTATAAACAAATAGTCAACTATGCATTCATTTCTACCCTAACCAGTGACAAATAAACAAACCATATAAGCATCAAATATCCACCCATCACTTGGAAATGATTCATAGTCATCAAATTCAGTTTTGTTTTTTTTTTAAGCTTCATTTAAGATGTACAAATAAATTGAAAAATATCAAAAACATTGCCTACATAGCTAAATCCTAAAATAAGTAAACATTCCTTAAATACTTTTATATATAAGGAAAATAAATGCAATTAAAGTAGTTGATGCTTAAACACTACTTGAATACACTGGCATATGAATAAGATTAAAGAAAAAGACAAAAATGATGAGAAAAATATGAAATCTTTTCAAAACATAAGAGACTGAAGAGAAAAATAAGATAGCTTTCATAATAGGAAAAGCTATCTCAACATATGAGAAGAAAATTCAATATTTCTCTATAATTAGGAAACAAATAATGCAAGATGAAAGGAAATAACTAAAGAAGTGTGGTAAAGATAAAGAAACACAACTATCGCTCACATTGTTGTAAAATAGTTTTACCTAAAAGGTTTTAATTGTCCTCCTCCTCTGCCATCTGTTTAGAACAAACAAGTATGTATGGCTATGATTGAACTGACAAGTATTTAATAATTGTTAAATCTACCATCAATCTAAAAAATAAAAACAGTAATGCCTACATGAAATAAAGGCATGAATAAAACTAAAAATGAATATATACTGATTTCAGTAAACAGTTTTTCCCAGCATATACCATTCGATGGAAGGATTAGTTATAGGTTCACTGTTATTCCCCATGATGGTAAAAATATACATGGAATACTTCAAGGAAATCAGCACCATTAAGCTAGGTACCTCCACGAGATCGCTAAAAAAAGAGCATAGCATGATGAAAAAGACGCCAAACTTGACGAAAACAAAATTTTATCGTCTAAATGTTTGTTATTATTAAGAGGAAAGGTCAAAAGTATTTTTGGGGTTTTTTTC